TTCCTCAACCTTCTTCCCTATATATAAACATATTATTATGAAGCTGTGAATGGCGTTGGCCAATGCCAGTGTATTGTGAAAAATCGTCATCATCATCGGAGTCGTCGTCGTCTTCGTCCATGGCAACCACTGAAGCATGTGCCACTTTTATTAACTTAACAAAGAAAAGCCGGCAGGCACTTTGCCTGTCGTCGTGTGGTGGTTGGTTCCTTTCATTCATTCCTTCTTTTCATTTTCCTTTCTCGCACGATCTTAATATGAGCTGTTGTTCATCACATCACATCTTGCATTGCTGTCCCGCATCGCACAGTTTCGTTTAAACTTCGCTTATACACATCGTTTGATGGTATTCAAAACTTCATTTTGAGTTGTCGGAGATTTTTTTCTTCTTCGGGTTCTTATTTTCATTGTGTGTTGAAAGTTTTGTAAAGGTTTTGTAATGTTCCGGCCATTTAAAAAAGGGGTTTTTGTTGTTGTTGTTGTTCGTGTAATGAAGAAGTGATATTGGAAAAATAAAAATCGAACCAAGAAAATTTCGATTTAATTTTTAAAGGGATCATTTGTTAGCGGGAAAGGAATAGAGGAATAAAATTTAAAGATACCAGGCATTTCATTCAAATTCAGGGCAAAAAAAAAATCGATTTTGAATCGCTATTTGAATATATGACTAAATATTAAAGAGACTAACTAACGATTTAATTCAAATCCAGGGCAAAAAATCGATTTTGAATCGCTGCTTGACCTTTAAAATGGAGTATTCAAGTGAAAATGATGTTTGGGACCCCGTAGCGTATGATTGATAATAATTTATGGGGACAAGGTGGCGTATGATTATTTTTAATATTTCTAAAATATAAATCGAAGTCTCTTCTTCGTTAAACAAGTCAATTCATGAAGATACTGCAGGTATTTCCAAACTTATGGACTCTGGAACATGTGCGCAAAAAGCTAAGAAATTTAACAACTTCGTATTTATTCTGGAAAAGACCCACAAAAAAAACACATCGACACATACCACATATTCGTCGACTATAAAGCCGCATTCGCGACAGCCCTATCCGTTCTGAGGGGTTTAAAGTCATGCCTACGTTCGGCATTCCTGCAAAATTAATACGGCTATGCAGGATAACCTTGGCACAAGGTCAGCAGTTAAAGTCGGAGAGGACCTATCGGAGCCCTTCAATACCGAACGAGGATTCAGACAAGGTGACAGTCTGTCGTGTGATCTTTTTAACATCCTGCTGGAAAAGGTCATACGAGACGCAAAGGTGAACAGAAATGGCACTCTGTACACCAAACAACCAACACATGTTACTCGCCTACGCCACCGATGACATCGATATAATGGGTCGAACATTGCGAGCGGTAACAGCCGCCACCTTTGAACAAATTGGGAAGGAATCTGCCAAAGTGGGTCTGGCAGTAGACGGCGAGAAGACCAAGCTGATGCTATCAACTCGCAAGACGTCCAGTAGACTCGGACCAACTGGGGAACTTGAAAACTACAGCTTCGAGGTAGTTAAAGATTTTATATACCTTGGTACCGCCATAAATAAAACGAGTGACATCAGTTTTGGAATTCGGAGAAGGATTGTGATGGCCAATCGATGCTACTATGGTCTGAGCAAACAACTCAAAAGCAAGGCCACCTCCCGCCAGACCAAACTCACACTCTACAAGACGCTGATACAACCCGCCGTGCTGTGGATATGGATCTGAAGCATGGGTACTTACGCAAGCACATGAGGCAGCTCTTGGAGGGTTTGAGAGAAAATTTCTCCGAAATATCTATGGGCCGATCTGCGTTGACGGTGAATATCGACATCGAATGAACCATGAGTTGTACCAGCTATTCTCGGACATCGACATTGTTAGACGTATTGAGCTGCAGCAGTGACTACGTTGGCTAGGTTGGCATGTTGTGAGTATGGATTAAGATGCCCCAGCCCAGAAGGCATATAAAAGCGAACCAGCTGATGGTTCACGCAGAAGGGGAAGGCCACGAATACGATGGAAAGATCAAGTCGAAGGCAACATTGCCAAAAATGGTCTTTCAAATTGGAAAAACTGCACAAAAGAGCGACGCGCCTGGAAATCTTTTCTAAGCTTGGCTTATGGAACGAAAGTTCTGTCACAAGCCAGCTAAGTAAGTAAGTAGTTGATTTATGCATGTCCGTCCGTACGTTCGTCCGTCCGTCTGCATGTCCATGTTAAATTGTAAACAAAGTACAGGTCGCATTTATGATCCGAATTGGATGAAAATTGGCATAGGTCACTTATTTGGCCTAAGGACGAACCCTATTGAAATTGGGAAAAATCGGTTCAGATTTAGATATAGCTCCCATATATATTTTCGTCGGATTTAATGTAAATGGTGTAACAAAGTCCCCATATACATTTCGATTTTTTTACAGCGTAATGAATTAGCTCGAGAATGATGTGTGTTAAGTTTCATGAAAATCGGTTCAGATTTAGATATAGCTCCCATATATATTTTCATCCGATTTAACATAAATGGTGCACCAAAGTCGCTATAAATCTTCCGATCTGCCCGAGATTTGGCATAGCGTACTGAATTGAGTTTAAAATGATGTGTGGTAAGTTTCATGAAAATCGATTCAGATTTAGATATAGCTCACATATAAATTTTTGTCCGATTTAAGGTAAATGGTGCACCGAAGTCCCTAAATATGCTTCGATTTGCACGAAATTTGGTACAGCGTATTGAATTAGCTCTAGAATGATGTGTGTTAAGTTTCATGAAAATCGGTTCAGATTTAGATATAGCTCCCTTACATATTTTCGTTCGATTTTAGGGTAATAGTGCACCAAAGTCCCTGTATATCACTCGATTTGCACGAAATTTGGCACAGCGTAATGAATTAGTTCTAGAATGATGTGTGTCAAGTTTCGTGAAAATCGATTCAGATTTAGATATAGCTCGCATATATATTTTCGTCCGATTTTATATAATTGGCGTACCAAAGTCCCTGTATATCACTCGATTTGCACGAAATTTGGTATAGTGTACTGAATTGGGTCTAGAATGATGTGTGTTAAGTTTCGTGAAAATCTGTTCAGATTTAGATATAGCTTCCATATATATTCTCGTCCGATTTAATGTAAAAGGTGTACCAAAGTCCCTATATATCCATCGATTTGCACGAAATTTGGTACAGCATAATGAATTAGGTCTAGAATGTGTGTGAAGTTTCGTGAAAATCAGTTCAGATTTAGATATAGCTCCCATATATAGTTTCGCTCGATTTTCGGTAAATAGTCCACTAAAGACCCTGGAAATCTTTTTATTTACACGAATTTTGGCACAACGTACTGAATTGCGTCTATAATAATGTGTGCTAAGTTTCATGAAAATCGGTTCAGATTTAGATATTGCTCCCATATATAACTTCGTCCGATTTAAGTTAAATGGTGTACCAAAGTCCTTATATATATCTTTCGATTTGCACGAAATTTGTCATAGAGTACTGAATTAAGTCTAGAATGGTGTGTGCTAAGTTTCGTGAAAATCGGTTAAGATTTAGATATAGCTCCCATATATATTTTCCTCCGATTTTAGGTAAATGGTGTACCAAAGTCCCTATATATCCTTCGATTTGCACGAAATTTGGCAGAGTGTACGGAATTAGGTCTAGAATGATGTGTGTTAAGTTTCGTGAAAATCGGTTCAGATGGCCCTTCGAAAATTCGACGTCTATTAGGATTCATTGGCTGAATACACCCAAAGTGTTGAAGGGTATCATATAGTCGGTCCCGTCCGACTTTACTACTTTCCTTATTGGTTTCAAAATATTTTTCTGAGGTATTATAGAAGACTTGGACTTTTTTTTAAAAATAAATTTTACGGTCTAAAGCCCTAAAAACTGTTATTGGGACATATGGCGTATAAGTAACGTCACTACTCATACGACCCAGTGTTCGATATTGAAATACCATCCATGAGGCTACAAATCTGAGATTTTTTGATTTATCGTATCAATATCGTATTTTTTTATTTAAGAAAAAAACACAACAAATGTTCCTCTCCTCGTTTTTTTCCAGACAACCTGTAACGATTGACTGGTCACCTACCTAGCGCTTCCATGACTGTCACATGCGAGTATGTGAATTTTTAAAAATATTTTTGTAAGGCCTTACAGAGGGCCTGGATTTTTTAAAAAATATTTCTCTATGGCCTTACTGAAGGTCTTATAGGAGACCGGAATTTTTAAAAATATTTTTCGAAGGCCTAAAGCCATACAAACTGTTAGTAGGACATATGACGTATAAGTAACGTCACTACTCATACGACCCAGTGTTCCATATTGAAATACCATCCATGGGGCCACAAATCTGAGATTTTTTTTATTTATTGATACGATGTATATTTTTTACTTAAAAAACACAACAAATGTTCATCTCCTCGTTTTTTTCCAGACAACCTGTAACGATTTACTGGTCACCTACCTAGAGCTTCCGTAACTGTCACACATATGAGTGTGTCGCCAAATATGTATGTGCATAACATTTACATTGAATACAGATGGGTACCACAATAGTCCAGGGTATTTTTGTGGAAAAATCTGCCTAAAAGGCAACAGGAGGGTGTTGAGGGCAAAAAAAAAAAAAAATCTGACACAGACGAACACTACCACAATCGCTGGCAGCTAGTCAATCACTCTCTGATACACCATGCCATGCTTCCGTATTTATGAATATGTAATATTTTACAGAGGAGAGACGAGAAGTGAGGTTTCACTTTGGCCAAATAAAAAAAAACACACACACTCGGAATAATTCCCCTCAAAAAAAAAAAAAATGGCCGTTTCGATTTCGCGGAAATCCAAAACGTTTTCATTGTCGATGTTCGTTTTTTTTTCTTTTGGTCTGGTTATTGAAATTAAAGTAAAGTGATTTTGAAGTCGGTGTGTTTTCGAAAATTCGCGGATTTTTTTCGGTCAATATGGAATTTTTTTTCGTTGTAGTTGTTCTGCACTTACCTTGGGTGTTGCCACAGCATGTGCCCCATCATAGACATACAAATGATCATTGCAATCCAATTGCAACATATCGAAGCGTAACATGAACCGCTGCAATATCGAATGCGTCTGAAAGGTGATGATACAGTCGAGATTACGTTCGTTCTGTGACCAGAGTACGGCACCGTCGATTTTCCGATACAGCTGCTGGAGGAAATGATTTTTGCACAAGGATTGCATGTAATCTGGAAATAAAAAGGAAAGAGGGAGAGAAAATGTGACTTCAAATGGAAATTTAATAAGTGTTGGAAAATATATTTCGAACAAATCGAGGATTTTTTAAAAATATTTTTCTAAGGCCTTACCGAAGGCGTGGATTTTTTAGAATACATTTTTAAGGCCTTACAGAAGGTGGGAATTTTTTAGTAATACTTTTCTAGGGCCTTACAGAAGGTGTGGATTTTTAAACATATTTTTCAAAGGCCTTATAGAAGCCATGGATTGCTTTAAACATATTTTACTAAGGCCTATTAGAAGGCATGGCTTTTTTTAAAATATTTTTCTAAGGTCTACCATAGACCTAAATATGCCTTATATTTTATACATCTTTGTATTACAGGTTTTTGAAAATCTAATGCTGATTTCAATACAAAAAACCGCAAGCTTCTATCTAAATATTTGTAGAAGTTATCGAATTTTTAAATTTGGCACCAGGTTGCGTATGAGTGTTATTAATTCCGAGGTAATATTAGTAAATCAGTAATATCTCGGCATCTAGTGGATGGAATGTGTTCATTTAAAGACTAAAATATTACGAACATATTAGGCCACAATATTATATACCATATGATCCAAACACTTCTGGACATATGAATGAGAAAATAGAAATTTTCTTGGGTTTTAGAAAAATATTTTTCTAAAGCCTGCAGAATAGATTTTTTGTGTATTTTATGTATCAATTTTCTATTACAGGTTTTAGAAAATCGAATGCTGATTTCAATACAAAAAACTGCAAGCTTCTAGCTAGTCATTCGAAGAAGTTATGTAATTTTTAAATTTGGAACTCGGTTGCGTATAAGTGTTATTAATTCCGAGGTAATTTTAGTAAATTAGCAATATCTCGGGATCTAGTGGATGGAATGAGTTCATTTAAAGACAAAAATATTAAGAACATATTAGGCCAAAATATTATTTACCATATGATCTGAACACTTTTGTGCATATTAATGAGAAAATAGCAATTTTCTTGGGTTTTATAAAAATATTTTTCTAAGCCTGCAGAATCATTTTTTTATGTATCAATTTTACCCATCTATATATTGAAATTATTAGGGAAGTACATAAAGATTATAATACAAAAAACCGCAAGCTTCTAGCTCGTCATTCGAAGATGTTATGGCACTTTTAAATTTGGAACCCGGTTGCGTATGAGTGTTATTAATTCCGTGATTATTTAGTAAATCCGCAATATCTCCGGATCTAGTGGATGGAATGTGTTCATTTAAAGACTTAAATATTAAGAACATATTAGGCCAAAATATTATTTACCATATGATCTGAACACTTTTGTGCATATGAATGAGAAAATAACAATTTTCTTGGGTTTTATAAAAATATTTTTCTAAGCCTGCAGAATCATTTTTTTATGTATCAATTTTACCCATCTATATATTGAAATTATTAGGGAAGTCCATAAAGGTTATAATACAAAAACTGCAAGCTTCTAGCTAGTCATTGGAAAATGTTATGGAATTTTTAAATTTGGTACCAGGTTGCGTATGAGTGTTATTAATACCGAGGTAATATTAGTAAATCAGCAATATCTCCGGATCTAGTGGATGGAATGTGTTCATTTAAAGACTAAAATATTAAGGAAATATTAGGCCACAATGCTGTATACTATATAAACTAATTACTCCTGGGCATGTGAAAGAGAAAATATAATTTTTCCTGATTTTCAAAAACTTCTTAAGCTTTTAAGCGATTTGTTGTAGTTTTTTCGTAGGGAAAAACAAATTTAGAGGTGGATTTTTGATGGCCATGTTGAACATAATATTTTTCTGAAGAAGTTGATTTAAAAACTATTTTTTCCGCTTAAAGACAATAATTTATTCCCCCAAAATTAAAAAAAAATCAAAAAGAAAAACTTCAAATTATGTTTTTTTCAAAAGGAAAAACTTTCAAACAATGAAAAAGATAAACACCAAAATAATAATGAGAAAATGTAGCAAATTTTCGCAACGAGTTTTAATTATAATTTCATATCATTTTCGCCTCCCCCCAATTTATGCTGCAAAACCATAATCTCTGCAGGAAGCAGCTCGAAAACTATGCTATGCACATTTTCCTTAAGGTTTCCGACAAAAGCATTTGCGAGAGCTTTAAAAATGAAGTTCACCGCGAAGATGAAAAGAAAATTGTTTCAACTTCTAGTTATTTTTCTTTGCAGAAATTCTCTCCTCTCCCCGCCAATTTCTTAAAAGGCTTTGATAGCACCATTATCTTTGGTATGTTTCTGTGGAATTTTCTATGAAGATTTTTTTTCCCACCAGGTAACTCGGCATTTTGTTAAGTTAATATAAAGTATTGTGTGTGAGGAATAAATTAGGAACAGAGAGGGGTGAGGATAGAAACGGAGGTTTTTATGAATACGTTAAGTAAAATTGCTGGTTATTGCAAGAAAAACTATATTCCTTTGATTTTCAAGCCTTTGTTTTAATATTGAAATGAAGTTCCGAGAAGCGGAAAAGGAATATTAAGTCACTGGGAATATTCAATGGAATAATTATTTTAATAATTTCTTAAACAAAATCCATGCTTTTGATGGGCCTTAGAAATGAATTTTTAAAATATACACACCTTGTGATAGGCCTAAGAAAAATATTTTTTTATAAAAATCGCAGCTCAGGACTATCACAAGCCTTACAAAAAATTTTTAAATATCTATACCTATCAACGTATACCACAACGTATAGATATCTAAACATTTTCTGCAAGGCTTGTGATAGGCCTGAGCTGAGATTTTTATAAAAATATTTTTATAAAGAAATATTTTTCAAACTCCACTCCTTGTATTAGGACTCAGAAATATTTTTAAATAATGCGAGGCTTGTAGTTGCA